GTACTGAAAGGGATGCATCTCTATGCAGGAGCTGGCAGAAAAAGTGCTCTCAAACGACAACACAAAATAGCTTTCCCCCCTTGTGGCTCAACTCGTGGTACAGTAACGACCACTGACTGCGAACGATGTTTCAGTGCAATGAACCGGGTTAACACTGAACTTCACAATAGAATGAACACAGACGAGTAGAATTGAAGGTCCAGAGGATTTCCCACATTATCGAAAGCAGCAACAGTCCCGTGCCAAAAAAACGCAGACTTTTTATACAGTTAGACTCTTTGGTAAACACAACCTGTGCCCATGCTAGTGTAGTTAATTTTTGTCACGGATGACAGTATGGGATAGATGTGTGTATGTATGCAGGTTGCAGTTGTTTCAGCGTTTTGAAAAGTTCCGTATCATTGTGTTTGGTGGAGATGGGAGTGTGGGGTGGGTACTGTCAGCTGTGGATCGCTTCAACCTTCACTCCAAGGTACACACACACACACACAAACACAGATGAGAATATTTCACACATACATACAGGTGGAGTCATACACTTTTAGTTTATCTACTATATCAGTGAATCTGCAGGTTAAAGAAATATAGTTGTTCAACAGTTTATGCTGTACCAAACTGGCTCGTAAAGGTATGGTGGGATGATTGTGCTGCATTTTCTCCCCCGCAGACAATGTTGGGAGTGGTTCCACTTGGAACTGGTAACGACATGGCAAGGGTCATGGGCTGGGGAGCTACGTTCAACGACGAAGAGAAGCTCCCGCTAATTCTGAGGGAAATGGAGTTTTCCTCGTTTCACTTGCTCGACCGCTGGTCCATCCAGTATAGCCGCGGAGATGTGGATATGTCACCCATCGCTGAGGCCAGCAGTGTAAGAGAGAGAGGAGAGAGAGAGAGAGGAGAGAGAGAGAGGAGAGAGAGAGAGAGAGAGGAGAGAGAGAGAGGAGAGAGAGAGAGGAGAGAGAGGAGAGAGAGAGAGGAGAGAGAACTTGTAGTATAGTTGGCGTAACGTATTACATGAAAATGTTGACCGTTCACTCACAGCCCATTCCTCCCAAGGCCTACCGCTCACCTCTTCTCCTTCCTCGCACTCTCGAGGAGCCGCCTCCGCTCCCCGGACCACACCCAAGCTCCGCCCCCGACAACGATCCTCCGTACAGCCCCGTCAACATTGGGGAGGTGTTTGAGGCCGACTCTATCGATCGGACAGGGCTGGAGGTGTGTCAGCTATCTGACCCCGCCCAGTTGTGTGAGCTGCCTTCTCCGGCCGACTCCAGTCCAGAGACTGATGGAACTATTACCACTACTACTAGTGGGAGTGTTGGCTCATTTGACCTCATTGTCTCTGATCTGACGCAGATTCTCTGCTCTCGGGACGAAGCCACCGTCATCTCCTCTGCTCAGTCAGTACCTTTTCCTTTGAGAGTTTCGTTTTAGAGTGTGAAATTCCTCGGTGACTTATGAAATTTGTCATGCATAGTTTTGAGGTTGTTTTTTTGTTCTTGAAAGTATGCATACGATTTATGTCGTGAAGCATGCATATGGTTTAGTGAAAGGTTGTTGTTATGATATTTCTTCCATTGTAGGAGAGTGTCCCAAGTGGTCGGCCATTTTGTCACCTCGGTTCTGGAAGACAGGCGAAGGAAGCTAACGACGGGGGAGTACAGGGACGACCCCCTCGTCCAGCAGTGCACCGTCCTACAGCAGAAACTGAAGGGACTCCAACATACCCTGGAGGTTAGGGTAAAGGGAACGGGAGAGAGGCTAAAAATTTGAGGGTATAGACCAAATTTTTGTGTTTAGACCAGAGGTATGAACAAAATTTTTAGACCACAAGGTGCACTCAATTACAGCTTCATTAGAACCCTATATACCTATATGTACATGTAGTATATTATTGCAGTTTATTAGAGTGTCTGTCGCTAATAAAATGGAGACCAATAGTGTGCATAGGTGACTAATTTTTGTCTCGCTGCAGGACGAAGCCAACGCAGCCACAGAGCAGCAGCAGAGAGAGCGACAGCAGAGAGCCGTGAGAGAGGGAAGCAGTGAATCGGAACAGAAACAGAAAGACGGGAGGAGCGACAACAAGACGACCGGGAAACTCTTTGTCCCTCGCGACGCTCTAATGGCGCGGGCCAACAGCCTCAAAAAGGCGGTGAGGAGCATTCTCGACATGACCGAGAGGGAGATTGAGACGCAGGCAGAGGTCACGGCAGAAGTTCAAACTCTCATGTGTCCGGTTCACGAAGAGCCCGGGAGTCACACCAGCCCGAACCTGAGTCCCTATTCCAGTCACAGCAGTATAGACTCGGAACGACGAGAGAGTTTCGAAATGGGGCCGCAGAGTCTCGACTATTTCGAGCAGCGGAGCAGTATTGATTCCGGGGCGAGTGACTCGTTCGGAGGTGCCCGGGGTAGCGTGGACTCGGGACGCCGCAGTCTGGATTTGGGACTCAAGGACAGAACGGAGTCTGGGGAACCGCGACACGGTCGGCTTTCGGTGACGTCATTGGTCTCCGTGGTGGAGCCGGCTCCGTGAGTAAACCCCTCTAATTATGTAGCCTTAACGATGCACTCTGCAGCTATATTCTCGCCTCCCATATAATACACACTATTGCCATCTGTGAGACACGTGCCCCTATCCTGTCATTAATTACACGAAATTAATGCACTAATGAACCTTGCAACCTCAGAATTCCATAGTATTACTCATTATGTTGATGTAAAGCTTTGCTCTCACCTGTGCAGTGTTCTGAGGGAGACCAGAGAGGTGGCATGCATGAACAACTACTTTGGCATTGGTCTGGATGCCCAAATCGCCTACCAGTTCCACAACACCAGGGAAAAGAACCAGATCAAGTGAGAGACTGGGGGAAGAGAGAGAGGGAGAGTGAGAAGGAGAGGGAGAGAGAGGAGAGTTAAATTAGTACCATACACTATGAATGGTAAATGGGAGGGAGTTAAGAGGAAACATAATATGGCTGCTAAGAGATTAAGGGTTGAATCTGCACACTTTTGCGTTGTTTACACATCGTAAAAGGTGTGGGTACGTGACTAGAAATCTGATTTGGTAACTTGAGTCTGAAACTCTCTCTCCACACAGTCCTCACATGTTCTTATGTGTGTGTTCTGTGCAATGCTGGTTCCTAGTATCGTGTGTCACATACATACAGCCCTGCCCACCAACACACATTGCTTCCAACAGTCCTCCCTGGGCTTTTGTATACAAACACAGGCCCCTCTTTAGACCAGCTACCAGCTTCAAACACGGATACAGTATAGGCAGTTCAAACTATGTATAGTATATCCAGTCCTGGGGATGCATGCTGTTGTAAGGCTAACTTTAACATTGTCAGCCTTCTTTAGCTGGAAATGGAATCTTCCCTCTTCCTCCCCCTCTCCCTTCCTTCCAGGGGTGGTTTCCCATACATTTTGATGCAACGTAACTATATTATGGTAAAAGTATGGTTGCACTGTGGCTAGTGAAAGTATGGGCCAGTAATGTACTACAGCGTCATCGATGTTCACCCATGAAATGAGGCCACCTCCCAAAAAAGCACTCCTTTTCTTTCCCCCTCAAAAGTCGTTGCATTCTTATGCCACAAACTAGAACTATGCTCAAGTTATATACATACATACGTACACGTTCTAGGAGCCGGACAAAGAACAAGATGTTGTACGGGATACTCGGCGGGAAGGAGTTCTTTTCCAACTCTCAAAAGTACCTGGAGAGGAAGATGACGTTGGAGTGCGATGGAACGCCCGTATCGTTGCCCACCAGACTCCAGGGTCTCGTGTTTCTCAACATTCCCAGCTACATGGCCGGGACCAACTTCTGGGGCACCGACAGGGAGAAGAGGGTGAGAAATGCAGCTGGTGGCGTTTGAAACAAGTTGGGTATTGAAACAAACTAGTGGAACCTTTTTATAGAGGACACTTTTTTTTAATTTTTTATAAAGAACCCCTCCACGATTTTATTCCAGTGTAATAATGAAACCTCCGGATGAAAAAAGAACTTCCCGTTGTCCCAGCATGTGGAGGTTCAACTGACTGAGAGAGAGGTTTACAGAACAATGTTTGCTAATACACTACTAGATTCCAGTCACTATAGGTCCGAGTTTGGCTGGTTCTCTGTGTTGGCTCTTGTTCTATCTTACCTCTCTCTTTCTGCTTCTGCTCCTCTCTCTTTTTAGGGGTTTTCAGCTCCCTCCTATGACGACAAGCTTGTGGAGGTGGTCGGAGTCACGGGGATCACGCAGGTAACCACGGCCAAAGTCCTGGGGATCCAGAACCAGCGAATAGCCCAGTGCCGCTACGCCAAGATCATCATGCACGGGCCGGACAAGCTGCCGATGCAGGTGGATGGAGAGGCCTGGCTTCAAGGGCCCGGAATAATCGTCGTCTCTCACAAGAACAAAGCGAGGATCATCTTCAAAAACAAGGTAACCAATGCACGCGTCCTTCTTTGCTTACTTCCTTGATGACAAGCTCTCTGTGTGTATCTTAGAGTCTGCCAGGATGTAGCAATGTTTGACTTATCATTCACTAAACATACTGTACATGTATACGTACATAGGTTTATGTGTAATTTGGCATTTTAAACTCGCATATTGTTTTTCATGCTTTCGTTCCCCATACCCCACACACTCACACACAGATATTCTCCCAGACCCTGGAGTCGTGGAAGCAGAAGAACCCGGGTCAGCCGGTCAGTCCCCAGAGACCAGTCGGAATACTCGACTATTTGACCGAGGAAGAGATAGAGAGATATCGCAGCGCCGCTCACGCCACTCGGGCCCTCATGGAACTGTAAGTACAAATATACCGTGGCAGTTCGGGTTGTCCCATAATAAGAACATGTACAGTGGAGCCTCTGTATAAAGGAAATGCTGGGGGACCATGAACACTGTCCTTATACAGCAGTTAATACGCGAAAGTATTAGCACAGAATTAGTGTCCTTTATAGAGAGGTGTCCTTTAATTAGAGTGTCCATTGTACACTGCTCTTTCACGTTGCATCATTATCAGCAAATCTCGTCATGTATCTGATAACGACAGGGTGAGACTGGAAGGAGCCGCTGGGAACTGCGAAGTCTCCAGAGATCTGGTCCCTCTTCTTTCCAGCACCACCTCTACGATGGACAGGGTCTTCCCCGATGATCAAATATCAGAGGTAATGAGCGCATTCTCCTCATTTTTGTTCCATTCCAATCTGTTACAAGTTGCTCAAGAATCCGCTAGAAAAGTGCTCCATTAGCTACACAGATCCATCACAGAAGCACGAGCATATGTAGACCTCTTCCAAGGATCGTGCCTGGTTTTTGACCTTAGGGAGATTGAAATGTTTTCGTGGTTGTGATACGTGACTGATCTCCGTTGGTTGTTCTGTTGGTGCAGACGGCTGACTTGGAACATTTGGAGGACTTCAAGAGAGAGATGGGGGCTTTGGTGGAGGAGACCCTCTACACCCTCGACAAGAAGAAGGTCTGTCTCTCTCTCTCTCTCTCTATCTCTCTGTCTCTCTCATGCTGTCTTCACTATTTGTTGTATTCTATTGTGAAGATATCGTCGACTCGAGCTAGAAAGATGAGAGAGTACGTGGAGCTACTAAAATCCTGTGTGGATGCCATTTCTTCCTCGGAACTCTCAGCAACCGTAAGTAGCAGCGATCTCTATTGCAGAAAATCGGGCAAAAAAGTTTTATTTTTTGAACTTCTTAATTGTCTGGTAATTCAGTCTTGCATTATTACACTTGACCTCTTCCTGATAGGGTAACAACTATCGGCGTGCCTCGGAGCCTACGGGGCTTCGTGGCCACACGACTCAGCAGACGTCGCCTTCCACTGCCCACAGAGGCAGGGCCGCCTGCATGCACACAGACCCAACACTCAACGCCGACTGGTACATAAACAAGATTGGCAAAGGTGAGGGAGATCCTGTGAAAGATTTGTAGTGGAAAACTTTCCGCAAGTTAGTAGTAGATAACTCTTGTGAAAATGGGTGATTCCTGTCCTCATAAGTTATGGTTTAAATCCAACTAAGGGCGGCTTTTTCTGTGGAACTTTTCTTTTTGCCTTGCAACCTGGCTGTTTACATGCATAGATGAATGATTGGTCACAAAAAAGTGATTTTCTGCCGTTTAGTATTTTCGGTGGTTTAACCCTTTCCTCTCACCTCTATTACTGGTTTAACCCTTTCCTCTCACCTCTATTACTGGCTTAACCCTTTCCTCTCACCTCTATTACTGGTTTTTTCCTCTCACCTCTATTACTGTTTTAACCCTTTCTTCTCTTACGGCAGAGGTGAGTGAGTGGGGATGTGATGAGGTGTGTTCATGGCTGGGTCTCCTGGGACTCAGTGACTACGACTCTGTCATTCACTCCAACGGCATCACCGGCCCTGCTCTCCTTGACCTCCAGACCAAGGATATTCTGGTTAGATCTCATTCTCTCATTCCCACACACCTCTATTCCATACTTCCATTCTCTGGCATTCCATACTCCCATGTCTCCACAATTCATTCCTTCATAGTTCCATACTTTATTCCATCACAGTTCCATACTCCCATGTCACCATACTTCATTCCCTCGTATTCCATACTCCCATGTCTCATTCCGTCTGCAGGAGCTGGGGTTCACAAAGGTTGGTCACATGACCAAGCTACGTTCTGGGATCCAGACCCTAAACCCCACCCTCAATTCAAGACAGGGGGCCACCAAACGGGCCAGACAATTCAGAGAAACGAGATAAACTGGTTTTTATTCTATTCACAACCATGTTCTATATAATTATGTACTTCATTGATGTGCACCCAACTATTATTATGATGCAACTTTACAAACATTTTTCTTGGTTCAGGTTTTATATAAGATATCATCCACTGTTTATCGATTTATACATTATAACTTTATGTTGAAAACAATATTGCGCATGCGCTAGTCGAATTCTGATAAAATCAATAAAGGTCGGATCATTCTGATAAAATGTGAACCACGACCTTGCTATGTTAGACTAATGGAGTAGATGTGGGGTACATTAAATGGGTGCTCCCTGGGTAACGAACAGTTGCAGATGAGTTTGGAGACAGTGTCGCAGTCCAAGACACCGGATCCTGTGGGTTGGCTGTCTCATTCCAACATGCCCGTACCTCGGTACCGTTCCCGGACATGTCAGTACAGGGACAGTATTCAGAGAGTGGTCTGTGGGGGCGGTATTGACCTGCTAGGCCACCTAGCACCAGCAGGGCCACTCCCACCACCAGCAGAGCCAATCTAGACAGAACAAGTCTTGACTTTGGGGACCACTTTATCCATCCGCTCGCCCCACTACTACGTTCATGTAGGTCTCTGAGAAATGTCATGTTGGAGATGTTGTGACTTCTCCCATTACTGACTGTAGCTTGTGAAAGAAATTCTGGATCTTGTTCAGTTGATGCTAATTCTTTTTCTTCGTCCATTGAGATTAGGGGTAACTCTTCTACTAACATCCCAGAATGGGCTTTTTCGCTCTCAAGCCCATTGCCAGCAGTGAAATCTCTAAAGACCATACGTTCTCTGTCTCTCTCCCTCTCTCCCTCCACGTCCTCCATTGCCGTACTGACACTGGAGCCGACCGACTGAGTGTCTGACGATGACGACGCATCAGTTGAAACGCTTGCGCTTTGTGCTCTCTTTATTGCCTGAAGACAAAAGGTAATCACATGATCCAATTATGATATTATGTAAGAGGTAGTAATAGTAGATGTTTAACCTCAAGTGATTCCTTGTCCCATTTGAGAATAATTACCAACACAATATAGCAGGTCGCCTGAGGTGGGTATGAGAGGATATTGATTACATCACACCCCAATCATGTGACTGTCACATGACTAAGCCCCCGCCAGTCGCTGCCCACACACCTGAGTAACGGAACCCACGAGGAGTCCAACCCACATGCCCAGTGCTCCCATTCCAGCTATGATTGCCAGGGTCGCCCCCATGGGTAAACCGATGATGTAATACGAGACAAAATTGATCAGGGCACCACTCAATTGCTTCCCAGTTCCTCTCAGCACACCTTGCATCATACCCTGTAGAAAATAGTATAGCCACAGCTCTATAATATATTAGAGACTCTATATTATAGGCCCAAATTGATCCCTAACATTGTGGTTCACTGTATCAGCAGGATGGGATGGTTCTCATTTTCTAAATATTCGCAGAATTCTCTGTTTACTTGTTTACCTGGAGACTGTCGGTCAGCAAAAGTGGTATGATTGCAAGTATCACTTCCCCAACACCCTCTATCACATCCCTGAGAGAAGAAAGGCGGTTTACAAGAAGACGTGCTCATACATGTACTCACTGATCTCGGGTGAAGATCCAACCTAGGACATTTCTCGTCGTTGCCAAAAACACCATCACGAGGGCCGACTGAACCACTGTGTGCAGAAATCACAGAGTGCAGCATAATTATGCGCCGTACAACGGCTTACATATGATTCCAAAGGCGGTGTATGTGGCTTGTTTGGCTCTCTGTGGATTCCCTGCGCCCAATTCGTTGCCCACTCTCACAGTCACGGCCATGCTGACTCCGTACGGCAACTGTACACATCATGTGGCAGCCATTAGTTCAGACACAAGACAGATGTGGATGAGTGCGTAGCATTAAATGTAATGAGCATTCCTGCTTTGGACTACAATACTGAGTCATTTATGTTGCAAAACCTCTGAAAGCCGGACCCTCTTAAAGGACATTGCTCCACGAAGGACCCTTACATTAGTGCATTCTATGACCTCTGAAACTCTAAATAAAGCACACTTTTAATGTCCGAAAGGTGCCCCTTTACTCAGAGGTTTGTCGTACCATAAAGTTGAGACTGAGTATCTGGAGCACGATGGTGTAAATAGCCAGCTGAGTGTTACTAATCGTGCCGGTCACAAATGCCGCAATTTCGAAAGACCACCATTCGAAACAGATCATGAGGAGGCCGGGAACGCCGAGACGAATGAATTGACCCCACCCCCTCAGTCCGTCCAGGCTCCACCCACCCCAGGTCTGGTTCGGAGATTTCCGGAGCCGGATAAAGAGGAGGAGGATGAGGGAAGAGGTTATGGTAGCCAGAGCCAGGGATATAGACGAACCTCTG